CAGGATATCCTACCAATTCTAAATGACACTTTCAACACAAGATTCTAGTTTTTATATTTTCATGAAACTAAAAACACCTCTAACACTCCCAAAATTATTAAAACATTTATTCTCTTCACCTCCACTAGAATTTCCCAGCTAAACTTAACCTCCTTACCACGAACAGCTTGAGGTCTATTATCAATTTAAAAGCAAGGATTTTATAATCCTGAAAAAAAAAATTAAACTGTTTTCTCATCAAAAATTTTCTAACAGACTTCTTCCTCAATATTTCCACCCTGCTCAAGTTGCCATTTCTTATAAAGGCTTGTTTGATCCATAATTTTAGTGCAATGGCCCTAAGGCATTTTCTATATGGCCAGTGAATTTTATCCAACATTCTGAGCTATTTCCCCAGCTCTCTTCTTTGGTGCTAGCGAATGAACCCAGTGTCTTGGCACACAGCAGGCAAGTGCTCTCCCATGTGCTACAATTATAATCCATACTTTTAAGATCTTAAAGATTAAACTTCAGGTTAACCCTAAGAAGTTGCCTCTCCCTTTAATATTTCAAATTCAAATCCATATGAAGTTTTTTTAAACTCACAGATCATCTGGATATGTCTAGCTGCTGCTCAACAAACGTTAATACTCTTTAACCCAACTATACCAGCTAAGCATTTCTTTTGTTAACAACAAACAAAAACCCCACATATCTCTCTTCTCATTTGAGAAATTTAGCACAAAAACTTCCCATTACTATGTAATTCTTTTGAATTACACTCAAGATGAATTACCCTATAAGAGGGTAAGAACTATTTAGGAAAAAAATAAATAAAATTCAGGAAGAAGTTTCCAGCTTGATTTGCCTTTAAAGCTGGGAAAGATACACAAATTTTGTTTCAAGCGCTTTCTATTCCCTTATCCACAAATCAATCCCAGGTGAACTAAAGATCTGATTATGGAAGGTAAAATAATAATCTTGAGGGGTGTGTCTTCCAGACTTTGGCATGTCTTACGTACAATGCAAAATCAGCTAATTATTAAAGAGAAAATATCAATAGGCTTTTCTTCTTCTCAGAGAGATACCATACCAAAAAAAAAAAAAAA